TTTTAGTATTTTATATAAATCCGTTTTTAAAAGACACACCCTGTTTTAGCCGTTCAGAGAACGCCTCTGTCCTTGTCCATTTCAAAGCATCTGACTGCGGGCTGATGGGCCAGCCTGGAGGCACGGCGCTCTGGCCGAAAAGGGGAAAGTCCGTTTTAATAAAACTTTTATTTATTTTTTTTAATCCACATAAATAGTTGGCTTGGCGAACCTGTTTTCTCGGCAAGTGGTCATACAAATTTGAGGTAGAAAACCCGGCACAGGAAACTTCCCAAATGCGTTAGGTAGTTTAAATACATCAACACATTTCCACAACGTGGGGGTTGTATTTACAAAAAGAAGAACAAGGTGTTTCCCTCAGACTGTTGGGCGGAAGGGCAGGAGCCAACCAAACACTGGTTACAAAATAAATGAACTGAAAGGTTACAAAAAAAAAATTAGTTGAGGGCTCATTCGATCCAAGCAGCTCTCCCTGCATTAGGTCCCGATCCTGCATTCACTCACCTCACGGGGCTACCTCCCGATATTACTGCCTCTGCATGTCCACCATGATCAGAATCCGCCCCATACTGCCCAGGCAGGAAAGGGTCCTGCCTACCGCTCTTATTTGTGTTTCTGCTGAGAATCCATATTGCATCCGTTTCATTTTTATGGAGAAAGGAGACCGAGACCCGGGGTAGCCTTCAGCAAGGAGAAAATTAAGGCCACTGGAAAAATAAGGTAGGGAAGCGATTCCAATTCCGGAGCATTTAGAACAAGCAGAGCGTGTTTCGTTTACACTAGAGTCACCCTGTTTCTCACGAGTTCTTTTCCTCCTGCCCAGTTCTTCATATCCCCCCCCTCCTGGATTTCTCCCCATCTCCAACCCTTTTTCCTTCTTAAACATTGCACATGATAAGAGCGATTGGTTACACTCCCAGCCTGACGAGCGCTCAGGGGGCAAAAAAAATCTTCTGAATCGGTTTTAAAAATGAGTTCAGTCTTTGATTTGTGTCTCTCTTCTCACTGATTTAACTCCAGAGCCCAGACCTGCTGAGGCCAACCAGTCCTTCCTTTGAGCTTTTTCTCTCCATGGCCTAGGGAATGCGAGTAGACTTCAGGCTGCTGCAGAAAAACACAAAGCCAAAGGGGGGGGAAAAACACAAAAGGAAACACGGGTAAGTGCTTAACAAAAATAAATATAAATTTAAAAGATGAAGGGGGCGGGGGGAGAGACCAAATATTTACGAGCAAGGATTTTAATAAGAAAAACAAATCAAACCGGCTGCGTTCTACTGTATCCCACTGTTTGTATATTTCAGGCGAGTGCTGTAAATACAAGGGTATATTGTGTTACTGTTTATAAATGTTAGAGATCGGGGCAGAGCCATAAATTTGCCTTTATTCGCCGTGCTTTTCTAAATAGTGAACGCGGCGTTATTGTAAATCCACGCTCCTGTTGGTAAATACAACGGGGCTCTAGTAAATTACACACTATTCGCTTTAAGCGCCAAGGCGGTTCTGTTCCTTTCAATGAGAGGAAAACAAGGAGTTGCGCTTGAAAAATACCAAGCTCCCGCAAACGGGAGGGTGCTCCGGGTTTTGTTGGGTGAGGAAATGATTTCCTCGGCCACGGTAAAAGACAGGGTCCTTTTTAAAAGCGAGGCTATTTGGGGTCTTTTCCTCCAAAATGCGGCCCTTTCCCACCAGCGAGGCACGTTGGGGATAATCATGCCAACGAGGCGGGGAATCAAGGTGTATTTGTGTGTTAATCGATCCGCGAATTGTCTTTGGATTCGATTATTGACACACCCCGAGCCCGGAGACGTTATCGGGGTTTGAGTCAGCGGCGGGTCAGCACCGGGGTCGCCTGGGCTGCCGCTTTCGTTTCAAAATCAGGACTAGAGCGCAGCGCGCCTGTTGAGAAATGTAAGCAAACAAGCCCTTGATTTGGGGGGTTAAAGAAAAGGTGGCAGGAGGTGGCGGCGGTTCCCCCAAATCGGGTTTGTAACGGGAGTACCAGCGCCAAGGCTGGGATTCGCTGTGTGGACGCGTTTATCGGCCTGTGTTTAGAACATGACCGGGGTTACAGTGTCACGGCCCCGCTCAGTGGGGCTGTAACGGGGGCAGACTGTGTCCCGCGCTCCCTCTCCCTCGCTAGGTAGGAAATGGTCTGGGGCGAAGCTCGGGTGTCCCAGTGGGGTTCGGATTCCCACCACCGGCGAAGTTTTTGTTTACAGCGTCCAGGAAAAAAAAAGACTCGTAAAAACACTGCCGCGAAGGAAGGGCCCGAGTCTGACTGTTCCTGGAAGGCCGGCAGGGAAGTTGGGGCCGCCCATCGCATCCAGGCGCTCCCCCACTTTTCCAACTAGCCCGAACTGGTGCAAGGCCTGGCGGCTGGGGAGGGAGGGGAGGTGGGGATTTCCCATTTGCAATGTTTAAAAGCTTCCCGCCTCCCCCTTAAGAAAGGTGCGAACTGTTGAAGCAGCCCGACTCGATGGGGGATTAAACAGGGACCGTTTAGACCGCAGGGGGAAATCGCAATACGGAGCCCCCTGCCCTGGGCTCTGGCGAAGATAAACCCAGGCTCCAGTCCGCAGAATAAAACCCCAGCGCAGCGTGTCGGTCGCGCCTAGCCGCATCCGCGCTGCAATCTAATATCCCGTGCAACAGAGCAATCTTCTCGCAACCTGCGCGGCGGCGTTGCGCGCATCACCAGCGGTAAGGTTGCGGGAGCATTTATCTGCTGCCCTCGGTGTGGCCGGGCGTAGAGCCGCGGGAAATCCCGCTACATACCACCCCCCTGGACCTTCGCCTGAACTGCCTCTGCCGGGCGAGCTCGCAAAGCGCGGGGCTCGCCCGGCCAGCAGAAAGCTCGCTGCCCTCTAACCAACGGGACGGGCACAGGGGTGGAACCAGCCCCCCGTGCAGGGTAGCTGAGGTCCCATGCGGGAGAGCTGCCGAGGCGGTACACGCCTCCCATGCACCGGGGCGTCCCACTGACCTGGGCACCTTTCTGGGCAGGGCCCTAGGGAGCCCAGAGCAACGGCTTCTCCTCTGCTCCCCTTAGCCCGCGGCTGCCCCTCGTCCACCGGCTCCCACCTCGGCCTTACCGGCTCCCTTTTCCGCTTGCTCTCCCGGCTGTCCGTTTTCTTGAGCTCGGCCTTGAAGCCCTCGGTCTCCCCGGCCTGGCTGTCCTTGGCCAGCACCTCCATCAGGTAGGCGATGTAGCTGGTGGCCAGGCGCAGGGTCTTGATCTTGGAGAGCTTGGTGTCGGCCGGCACGTTGGGGATGCACTCCCGCAGCTCGGCGAAGGCGCTGTTGATGCTCTCGGTCCTCCGGCGCTCCTTCTTGGGGCCCACGCCTTTCCGCCGGCCCAGCCGGCTGCTCAGAGCCTCCAGCCGGCTGGGCCCGTGGCCGGGCCCCGGCGCCCCGAACTCGGCGCTGGGGTAGGGGGAGGGCTGCCCGGAGAGGTCGGGGGACACCTCGGCCGGGTTGAGCACCCAGCTCTGGAAGTAGGAGCGCTCCGGGTGGCACCTGGAGGCCGGGCTGAAGAGGAAGGGCTCGTGGAGCAGATGGTGCTGGTAACTCCCCACCAGGTTCATGGTCTGCCCGAGGCGCGCAGCGGTCCCGGAGAAAGAGCCCGGCTGGAGAGATCTACCCTGCCCTGGGCTCGCTTAGGCAGCCTGGGCCATCGCTTGCTCCAACACCCCCTGGGCCGGACGGGGCAGCTTCCCGCCTGCTCTCCCTCGAGCCTGGGCGACTCTCCGCAGCTCAGATGCGCCTCCAGGCCGGGGAAGCCAGGCCCTGGGACGGCTTCTTAGCAAATTCTCTGCTGGGACGTTTGTCCTCGGCACCCAGCTCCGCTGGCGGGGAAAAGGGGTGTGTGTGTGGGAGGGGGGGTGGTTTTTTAACCCTTCTGCAGCCTCCCAGCTCTGCCTTTATATAGGGAAGGGGGCTTTGATGTCAAACTTTCCCCAGAGCCAATGGAAAGGGGAGGGCCCGTTGCAGAAGGGGGGAGGAGGGAGAAGTGCCCCAGAGCTGTTTGCTTTGCCAGGCTAAGTTTATTTGCGCAGTACTTTTATCACACCTTTCTGTTTGCTCCCGCCAGTAAACCGGGGTCTGTGTCAAACACTGACTCGGAGCAATAAAAGGCCATCCTGGAAATCAGACAGAGCGACTGCGCTCCCCCGGCAGCCCCGCCGAGAAACCCGCTTCCCGGGGATTGTTTTCTGGCGAGGAAAGAATTGCTGAACTAGAGGAGAAAAGGCAACCCGGGAGCGATGTCTCTGAAAGGTTTCATAATTCTAATCACAATGAGCCGGGCGGTAAGAAAGTCGTAGCGACGCCGCCCGGGATGAGTGCACACTTGTACCCAGCCCTATCAGTCCTGGCACAAACGGGGCTGGGGACACGCAGATCTGCCCCTGGAGTTTGTATTTGAAGGACACACATTGTCCAGGGTTTGCGTTGCTTAAGAAAAGCGAGGGGACTGGCTTCGAACGCCCCGCGATCCCCAGGGTAAAGCGGCGTCGAACTCGTGTGTGTAGGTTCAAGTGTAAACGCAAAAGCTCTGAATGACCAGAGAAATGCAGCCCGCGGGGAAAGCCAGGCGCTTCCTCCTTGGAGCTTCTGATGCGTTGAACCATCAGACTTATCGAGCTGGCAGTCAGATCTCCTGCTTGTCAAATAGTTCCCCCTGTCTGAGCAGGTCACCGAACGGCTTGGATTTGTAATTAGGAGCGCGGCGAAGTGGAGTCTGAGCCGCCTTGGCCTTTGCTAGGTCCCCGTTTGATTCTTTTCCTTTTGTTCCCTCTCTTCAGCCTGGCCCCATATGGGCCCGGGGATCAATTGTGCCAGTCTCGGATGGGCGAGTGACCGCAGCTTCTCCCCCCACCAGGTCAGACAAATCCCGTCCCCCGGTACCCCAGCTTTGCAGCTGATCCTGCGCCCCCTGGAAATTGCCGAATATGCAAAAAAAAAATACACAAAGGTGCGGGGCAAGTGGCCTTGAATCGAGGCTCGGAACGGGGAGGGGGCGCTAAATGGGCTTAAAAGGTGTGTGTGGTTCTAACCCCCGTCCCCACAGGAGGGTCCGCGTTCCCACGCCCGGTTATGCTTCCCGGAGGGGGCTCGATCCGAAGGAAATCTACCCCCGCGCGTACACACGGGTCATGCAGCCCGGATCTCCCGCAGCGGGTCGGGGAGGGCTGGGAACGGACTGAATCGGGCTGCAGAGCTCGGCAGGGAAACGTTTGAAAGCCAGTCGCTGAAAGCACCAAGGGGCAAGGGCGGGTTTCCTCCCCCCGTCTCTGGCCCAGCCTGGGGGGACCCCGCGGGTCGGAGACGGTGGAACGATGTGGGGTGAAGCCAGGCGGCGGGGCCCGGCAGGTTGGCGTGACCGTGTTTCCCGGCAGCAGAGCTGGACAAGGGAGAGGTCCCCCCGAGATGTGTGTCCGGGTCCCGCTCCTGGAGGAGCGCTTCGCCGCTGGCAGTAATGGGACGTGCTGGACTCGGTAGGTTCCCTAAAGCCCAGGCCCCTGAACGCGCAGGGTGGGACAGTGGGCATCGAACCGGGCCCCACACAGCCCCTCTCTTAGGGCAGGACACAACTTCTGGGCTCTCTTAGGCTCGGTCCGCCCCTGGTTTGGGGGCCGAGCCTTGGTAGGATGGTAGAGAGGCTGAAATCGGGGAGGCCAGGAACCGCCGTGTGCGCTGGGCAGCGAGAGCCGGCCTGGGGGTGGGAGCCTCCCGAGACCCAGCTCCCTGTGGGCCCAGGCCTGCGGGGCTTAGTCCGCCTGGGCTCGCACCGAGTGGGTGCGATTGGTGGGAACGCTGCCCGAGCAAGGACCTACATGGATCTAGCACCTGGCCCTAAAGCCGGGCATTTCCAAACGAGCTCCCCCCCCCACCCCCCTACACACTTCCTGCCCCTGGGGGCTCGCTTTGGGCAGGCGAACCCCCTACTCCGAATGGCCCCAAGGCCCTGCCCGCAGATCCCCGGGGCGCAGCCAGCACCCTGCGCTGGGTTAAGGGGCTGAGCAGGGCCCCTCCTGCGGGGCAGCGCGCGGGGTAATGGTGTGATGATGCCGAACATCTGGGCACTGTTACCGTCACGGCTTAAGAATGTGTGACTCACGGGCGGGACTGTGCGCACGGGTGTGAATGCACGAGGGGGGATGTCCCCAGATCCCTCGCGGGACAGGGACACGCGTGAATGACGGGGGTCAATGAACTGGAGTCCACAAGCAGTTAAAGTGGGCAGATCCTGCCCTGTAATTACCCTGGGGGGTAGATCTGCCCTCACACTCTGTGTGTGTGTGTGTGTGTGTGTGTGTGTGTGTGTGTGT